ATAAAGATGATGATAACAACAATAACAACAACAACAATAATGATAATAATAATAATAATAATAATAATAATAATGATAATAATAATAATAACAATAACAACAACAATAACAACAAAACAACAATAATAATAAAAATATTAATGAAAATAATAATAATGATGACAACAACAACAAAACAACGACAACAACAACAATAATAATAATATATAATAATAATAACAACAACAATAACAATACTAATGGTAAAGAAAAAATGTCATATGGTATGACGATGATACCTGTTTGGAAAGTCATTTACAAGTCCCAGAAAACCTTCCCGCGTGCCCATCCATACCAAATGAAGGTCCTTTTCCACATTCCACAGAATCGTAAGTATAAATCTCTGTTATCGGTATAATGTATTCGTTATATTATACACCGACTTTGTTAGTGTCATTTCCTGTCATATTTTAGTCCTTTTGTTGTGTCTTCGCTACATCAACACTAAGATATTTTTTAAAGGAAATTGTATATTAATATTATTATTATTATTATTATTATTATTATTATTATTATTATTATTATTATTATCATATTAGTTTGTAATATTATTATTGTTTTATTATTGTATTGCTGTGACGCTAGACTATCATTCTGATTTTCGGAAAAGGTGAGAAAGATTATTTTATGATGTCAGATCAAATAAAATTTAATCCTTATACATCTTTATAAATTCTCCGAGGAATTATTTCACGGTGAAAATAACTGAGTTTCGAATCTTCTGGAATTTTGTTATTCTCTGAGACATAATTCCTGCGGTTTCGAAATTACAATATCGCATATCGAGACTTCTATTACGTATCTTTGCACTGGGAAAAATATCGTGCTTACTCATAGTCAATTCCGGTGTCGGAATATTTCTGATATTTCCGTATTTCTGATGAAGATACGAGCGTAAGGAATCGTATGTCAATGTCGCTTGTGGTGTGATTCATTCTCATTCATATTTTTTTTTTACGTTTTTATAAATGAATAAGAAATAAGAAATATGAAGAAGAAATAAGAAATGAAATAAGAATAAGAAATAAGAATAAGAAATAAGAATAAATAAGAATTGAAAATAAGAATAAGAAATAAGAATAGGAAATATATTATTTTCTACGTTTTTATAAATAAATAAGAAATATGAAGAAGAAATAAGAAATAAGAATAGGAAATAAGAAAAGAATAAGAATAGGAATAAGAATAAGAAATAAGAAGAGGAAATAGGAATAAGAAATAAGAATAGGAAATAGGAATAAGAAATAAGAATAATGAATAAGAAATGAGAATAATAAATAAATAAGAAACAGGTATACGTATTTGACTCGATTAATTCATTCGCTTTCCATTCACACTTTTATTGTTTATTACAATGGACCTCACTTCACACTATCCTCACGCTATCCTCACCCTCGATCGATTCCTCAGAAGAATAGAAAGAAATTAATTCACACTTTGCTCACTCTATCCTCACCCTTTTGCCTCATTCCCTAGCTTCACCTTCACCCGACGTCCCAGACTCATAGACACTCTAATTCACACTTTGCTCACACGATTCTCATCCCTTTTGCTTCAATCCTTTGCCTCACCCTCGCTAGACGTATGATTAGAAAAAGGATCCAATTTGCTCTTTGCTCACGCTATCCTCACTCCCTGGTCTCAACCCTCTTGCCTAATTCTCGATGTTCTAGACCAATAGAAAGACACTCCTATTCACTTTATTGCTCACGCTATTCTCATCCCCCTTGAATCACCCCCTTGCCTTAACCCCTTGCTTCAACCCCCTTGCCTTTCCCTCTTGCCTCTCCCCTTGCTTCAACCCCTAGTCTCTCCTCTTTCTCTCTCCCCCTTGCCTCACCCCTTACCTCACCCCCTAACCTCCCCCCCTCGCCTCATCCCCCTAACCTCACCCCCTTGCCTCACCCCCTTGCTTCACCCCTTTCCCTTCACCCCTTACCTCTCCCCCTCCCCTCATCCACTAACCTCTCCCATTCCTCACCCCTCTTACCGCCCCCTTACCTCACCCCCTTACCTCATCCCCCTCGCCTCATCTCCCTTCCCTCACCCCTAAACCTCTCCCCTTTCCCTCACCCCCTTGCCTCACCCCTTACCCTCCCCCTTCCCTCACCCCTTGCCTCATCCCCCCTTGCCTCATCCCCTCCTTGCTTCACCCCCTTGCCTCATCCTCGCTCGACGTCGCGGGCCAATAGAAAGAAGCTCTTGATGGATGAGGTGAACTGTGTCTCAGGAGGAGGTCGACCAGGTACACAAGACTGACCACGGGGACGTCGTGCTGAGGGCGCCTTGCTGAGTGGGACTCGTGGGGAGGGGGAAGGAGGGGGTGGAGGGGGTGGAAGGGGGGAAGGGGGTGGAGGGGAAAAGGGGGGAGGAGGGGGGAGAGGGAGGAGGGTGGAGGAGGAGGAGGGGGACGGGAAAGGAGGGGGACGGGAAAAGGAGGAGGAGGGAAAGAAGAGGGAGG